TTGTATTCGTCTTCAGTGTGGAAGGGATTATCTTGAATTGGCCTTCTCAGCCACACTAGACGCTGTTTCAAGACCTCTATTCAGAGCACATTACCATACTGTAGTCTCTCTAGACTGAAGAATGCCTACTACTGATCGCAGCATGACTAACTTTAAGATGTGCTTTCTATCTCATTACTGTATATAATCAGTTCATCCATGCAGGTTTGTCTGGATCACTTTTGTTGAGTATATAACAAAATATTTTTCACGCAGGTCTAGAGGTAAAAAAGGTCGTTTTGCACTTCAGCTAGAACCCACTGAAACTATTCTACTACGGACAGCTTAGGAGGGTAGCTGATTTCTGTAGCTGACCTTTGTTGTGATATTTATGCTAACCAGCCCTTTGCTGGTTTATGACCAGTGTCAAAACTAACTGCCATTTTCCTGTATCTCACTCCGTATAAGCTCAGTGGTTTAGGTAACAGGTTGGGAGTTTGATTCCCCAGAGTGTCTCCTTAACTCAGGAGTTGGACTTGATGATCCACACTCAAGGTCCCTTTCAGCTCAGCAGTTCTTCGATGATGATGATTTTGATGTCCCACATCCACAACCAACACCACCGTGGCTAGAACGTGGTGCTCCGTGCATCTGCAGAAGGGCATTATGTTTACGAAAAGTGCGGGCTAAATAACACTTGGTGGTCTTCCAGGTGCAGACACTGACTGTGTGTGTGTTTAGTCGTTTAGTTTGATGTCCCACACCCACAACCAACACCATCGTGGCTAGAACACGGTGCTCCGTGCATCTGCAGAAGGGCATTATGTTTACGAAAAGTGCGGGCTAAATAACACTTGACGGTCTTCAAGGTGCACACACTGACAACACACTTGGAAACTGGTGTTTCCCTGGGTGGTTCTCGCTTAGCTCGGAGCAGATTAGAAACGGCTTCCACCAAGATCGCTGGTGGGTTCTCTCGGCGGTGTATAAAGGCGCCTCGGTGTGTGCTTACTCGGAAGTCAGTCCCACCCAGTTCTATGGGGGTTTCCTCCCAGGTACGTTGGGGTGGGATCAGCTCTCCGTAGCCTTCCCTGCGCCCTTCCGGAGGCATCTGGGTTCCGATCCCGGAGCCTCTTCCTGGCTTCCTTGGCTCCTCCTCCTCCTCTTCTTCTTCCGCCCTCTTGAACTTCCGCCCGCGAAACATGTTGGGGTGGGATCGGCTCTCCATTGCCTTCCCTGCGCCCTTCCGGAGGCATCTCGGTTCCGATCCCGCAGCCTCTTCCTGGCTTCTTTGGCTCCTCCTCCTCTTGCTCTTCCACCCTCTTGAACTTCCGCCCGCGAAACCCTGACTACCGCCCTCGCTTCCGCCCGCCTCTGCTCCCTTCGCCACCATGGGTCCGCCCGGCTTCGTTTCCAGGCCTTTCAGTTCCCCCTCTCGGCTCCTTCCTCACCGCCGCTCGCCATGCCCGGTTCTTCGGTGCCCCGGCGCGGCCCGGCCGCCGCCGCCTCGCCCCCGCCCCAAGTCTCGGTCTTCCCTTCGCCGCAGGAGCTGGGCTCGGCCCTGGCCCAGCTGGTGGCCCAGCGGGAGGCCGAGTCCGGCGGGCCTGGTGGGCGTTTATCGCTGGAGCTGTCCGGGGGCAGCCTGG